TATTAGTAGGCGGGCTAGCGTGACTGATCATGAAGAACATGCTTTTTTTCATGCACATAAAAAGGAAGGCATAGGCAAAGTAAATTATAGTTTCCAATTTTAATTTAACTTTTACCATGTCCGATGTAGGAACCCAGCCGAACCCAAACATGTCATGGAGGCCATTTCCATTAAAAAAAAAATACAAATACTCCCTTCCCTGTACACGAAGTATTCAGTGCAAAAAGAATGAAATTGTAAGTTTTTAAGTAGATGACCCAGATGGCGATTATTTCAAATATTTCCGTCAAAGGGGGGCGATTATTCGAGGAAATATGGTAACTCGCAATTCAAGTCTGTCAAAAAATGAAAATATGTTTTCCAAAAAATAAACAAAACAAAACGACCAAGAAAAAAGCGAAAAATAGATTATTTCGCGAGAGTCGAACTCCAGACCTTCGACGTGTAATGGTTATTACGTAGATGGGTGCTCTGCATTCAGTTTTATGTGTCATTACATTAAAAGAGTTACGGTACCTTTATTTTAATATTTTTATTCTTGTAACATAGAATGAAGATGATGTAAACTGCAGAAAAAAAAATCTTCAATTTATGAAGAATTGAAAGATATATTCGAGGTAACAAGCGGGGTTTTGACGGTATATAAAGGCCGTACCTTTATAATTTAACTCAGTTCATCGCATCAGTGAAGAACATATGGCCGACAAGTGTCTAGCAAAACCGTCGCTATTGCTGATGGCGTTGTACAGTTTGCAATTCTTGGCGTTTACAGGCCGGGAGACTCAACAACAATTCAGCAACAGTAAACATTCCCGTTTTTATTGAACAAAGAAACATTTTATTTCAGAAGGATATTTCGTTTGTTGTTGTTCAGAATGATATTTAGTTTGTTATTGTTTTTTCTTTCTAAAAGTCCGGGAGGTCATGTGTTTTCCTTTAAAAATAAAAGCGTGAGTTGCATTTGGGTTGCCATACCTGCTGATTGAATTATTTTACATTGGTATGCCTGTGGTGCGGACACACGGTCGGTGTACGGTCACGTGATTACCAAATTTTCTCGGATCGGTAGATTACCACATTTCCTTAGCTATGGGGCTCCGCCCATGGGCGGCGCGAAGCGCCGCGCGTGGAGCTCCGCTATTAGAAAGCCGCGGCTCATCTCGAGACGGGTGGGGGGCGCACCCCCCCCCTAGATCCGCCCCTGATGCATTGTCCTGGTTGCCTAAACTCCTTAGTAGTACGAATCATTAAACGGCGCAGAATTAATCGATGAATAAATTTTACCTACAATAGTTTAGAAGTAGCCTGTGTACATCCGCCCTCTCCCCTCAGAAAAGAAGGGGGCCCTGTCCGATTTTTTCTGGGGGAGGGGGCGGGTCTTCTAACCCTAATTGCCAATCGGTTCGATACCCTAACCGTGAAACAATGGGAAACTGATAAACAATGATGTTATTGTTTCCTGAGACCATTGAGGAAACACCTTACGAGCAGCTCCTATATTACACTCCTACATGGGAGTAATTTGAGATTGGAACTGTTTACGACAGACAAAGATAGAAATTGTTATGTAAAAAAGGTGTGTAAAATACCACTTTATTAAACTGAAAAAGAAAAATGATTTGACAAGTCTGGGGGAAACGAATACATTATCATGTTACTGAGCTGGGTAAAAATAGGCAGCTTAAGCAACAACGACGGCGACGGCTACGAAAACGTCACTTAAAAGGTGAATTCGCGTTGTCTCAAACTTTATCGCCCTTTTTCCATCTCGTTTAATTCGTCAAATGTGGTCAAACCTCTTTTGGAGTTGAATTCTGAAGGACTGTATCAAAGTTCAGGAAAAGAAAAAGAAAGTTTTTGTCTTGTGCTCCCGTCCTCGACCAAACGTGAAATTAGGCACTTTCACGTTGCAGTCGTTCAAAACGGCTAACGGAAATGTACGAAAAAGCGTGATGCACGCGCAAAGTTGTTGTTTTTGTTAATCTAACCTAGCTATTGCCTTTTTGCCGTCCTCGTTGCCCTCGCCGTCGTCGTTACTGAAGCTCCCCAGGACGCGCCACTTCAAATGTTCCTTTCTAATTGTGTTTGAGCCTGGTCTGTAAAGTACCTACCTTATGTAGTACCTATTCTTTCCGTTCTGGCCTTTGTTCCGAGTTTTTGTTCTCGGCATCAGTTTGTAAGTCCAAATTTGGCAAGAAAGTTTAGAAAAATCCGCCTTAAGTAAAGTAAGTAAAGTAAAACTTTATTTACACAGGCTAGCCCATTCAGCTCTAAGGCTGGTCTCCATAGGGGTCCTGCATCTTAAATGATTAATTTACATCAAGAATTTTCATGAACTATTACATTTAAAAGCCTAATAAAAATACAATATTAGAATTTAAGAACTACATTAAAAAGCCTAAAAATACAATGCAAAATCACCTTTAAAGCCTAAAATAGTAATAAAATATCAAAGTTATGATAAAAAGAAAATAAAATGTCTTGCTCGGCGGCAGAACGTTTTAATGTTTTCACTCTTCACAACGTTTAAAGGGAGTTAGTTAAAAATTTTTGCGCCAGTAAAAAGAAAGGTCCTTTTCTCAAAATTTTGTTTAACGTTTGGTAGGGATAGCCTCATACTTTGCCTTGTGGAATAATTGTGAATGTTCGAAAATCTAGTAAAATATAATGAAAAGTAACTAGGAACTAATGAGTGAATACAGAGAAAAACGAGTTTGAAGCTTCATTTTAGAGACAAGACGAGGTTAAGGATCTTCAGCAACACTGCAGCAGCTGTTAGTTGTTTCATAGAGCGCATGCCCGCCGGGACTGACTTTGAAGCTCAAACATCTTTTGCAATGTTTCAAAGGTTAAAATATCTTTTCAATAATTGGGAAAAAAAGAATTATTAATCTTGCAAAAGCTGTAAAAAACTCCTCTTAGGGTGGATTTCCACTGTTGCATAATTTTCCGTGCGTACGCTCGTAAAGTAAATTTTACGCGCGTAATAAAATAGAGGCAAAGTGTGGTATGTCGCGCGTACACGTTAAAGTTTAACCTCGCGCAACTTTTACGTTTATACGTGCGACCTTTCATACATTGCTTCAGTTATACTTAGACGCGTAAAATTTACGTGTGTACGCGAGGAAAAATTACACGACATTAGAAATCCTCCCTAACCCTATCAGGCTTCTAATTAGCTTGTAAATTTGGATACAATACACACAATTCATCCGCACTATAATGACTGAACATCCCCTGGTTATGTTAAACGTTTACGTAGTTTACAGACTTTACAGACAGCGTTTACGGCAAACGGCAAACGACAGACTCAAGTTGAGAATTTCTAAAAATAGAAAATGACAGGCTAAAACCAGTCCAAAACAATTCTTATGGATGAAATAACGTGAAACTACTTTTTTTTGTAGAAGTTAAGAACAGGTAATAAATATAGGGAACAATTGGTCACGTGGTACAAATTCACGTTTGCCGTTTGCCTTAAACGTGACTCTAAATCTCTCTAGTGTCCTCAAATGAGCCACACCCCTCCCCCTCCTCTCCGTTTGTGGAAGGGGTGGGGATTAGGGAAAGCTTTATTTTCCCACTTTAAGTTGGCAAAACGTCAAAGACGCCCTTTGGGGCAAAGTGTCTCAACTATTAAATTTTGAGGCCGATTGTCCTGATTGTACATAACAAAGGCGTCATGATTTATATAAAAACAAGCACTACAGGCAATAATCCCGAAACAAGCGAGATGGTCGCATGATAACAGATACCTAGACTTGGGATCTTGGAGGTGGCAGAGGTCGGGGAGGTGGCAGAGGTCGGAGAGGTGGCAGAGGTCGAGGTGGTTGACGACTTGATTTTCGTGCAATTGTCACCAGGGCAGTTACCTTGGCACTTTTGGGCATCACACTGGTAAAAGCAGTTTCCACTGCTACAAAATTGCGTGCAGGTCTTAACCCTGGATGAGCACATCATGGTACAATTGGAACAGTCTTGCTGGCATATTTCAGAATCACAGAACAATTCTTTAGCATCCCCCTGTTCGCAGGAGCTACCAGACATGGAGTTTGTGCATCTCATGGTGGTACAATTTCCACCCTCGCATTTTTGAAAGCATCTCATGGCATCGCACCTATACTCTTTGCAGTAACCATTTAGGCAGTCCTGGTTGCACCTTGTTACTGAGGAACTACAAGCCACGGTGTTGCATGTAGTCTCGTTGCAGTTTTGGAGGCAGCTGTCGTACGACTGAATGCACTGGAGCGAACATGGCGGTTGGTCGCAGGAATACTGAGTACAAGTAGTATTTTCTGGCATCACGTCACAGATGGTTTTGTTGGTAGCTGAGACTTCCACAAAGTTTCCGGTGGTAAATATCAAAGCAATAACCAACAGCAACCCCATTCTTGATTATCAAAGGCAACTATATATAAAGAACAAGATTAGAAATGAATCAAACGACTAATGTACACTTCCTTTTTTGCAACAGGCAAGGTAATCCAGATTCCACAATACGGGAAATTTTTGCTTTTGGGATCGGGAATACAGGAGTTTTGTTTGTGGGATCCGAAATACGGGAAATTTTTGCTTGTGGGATCCGCAATACGGGAAATTTTTGCTTGTGGGATCCGGAATATGGCAAATTTTTGTTTGCGAGATCCGCAATACGGGAAATTTTTGCTTGTGGGATCCGGTATACGAGAAACTTGTTTGTGGGATCCGGAATACGGGAAATCTTTGTTTGTGGGATCCGAAATCGTGGCTTTGGAATCTCTAATTCCAGCTCAAGGAATCCGGAACCCCGCTAACAACTGGAATACGAAATTCAAGTTTCACTGACAAAAAATCAGGAACCAAGTATCTGGAATCCGGAATCCACAGTGCTGAATCCAGAATCCAAGACTTGGATTCCTGCCTTTTTTGCAGTGGGGCGACCTTTTTTCAGGATGATAGAAACGTACGTGTATGTACAGAAAAGAACATGTAGACTGTAAAACGGTCGGGTTTTTTTTTTCTCAAAATGAGTAAAGAAATCGGTAAAGCGTGGCATAAGTCTCTCGCTCTCTGTTATCAGCGTCGTTCCAGACCTTTTGTTTGACTGCTCGCACGTACTTGAATACGCAAAAATACGGACTGTTTTGCAGTATAGAGAACATAATAAGAACATATAAACTAAGACCACATCTTATAATCAGAAAGTAATTCAAATAATAAAAAGTGCTTCCACAGGTACCCCAAACTCAGGAGTGAGAATCGTTGTTGCGTAACAGAAATTTTATAAGGGTTTGTAGGGAGATTTAAGCGATCTTTATTTAGGGGTCAAAATTTAGTAATCTTGACCTTGTGTCCGTGTCTAAATTTATGGTGTTTTCTTAGCATTTTTGGCCGTTTTAGGGTAGTTCCAGCGAGTTTAATTAATAACGAACAACGTTAGAACTAAGGCCCAGTTCAAACGTCGAATTTCACACTGTGCCGAACTTACAGTTCCTTAAAAAAACTTTGGATCCGGAGTAATATTGAACTTTGGATCCAGAGTAATAACTTTGGATCCGAAATAATAACTTTGAATAAAGAGTAAAAACTTTGGATCCTGCGTGATAACTTTGGATCCGGAATAATAACCTTGGATCCAGAGTGGTGCTCCCGTCCATCTTTATGTCGTTTGTTGCCATTTCATCTTTTCCTATGTCGCTGTTTCAAGGCCATGGCTCTTGTCGGAATTTACACCCAACAGGGCCCCGTTTATCATGTATATATAAGGCAGTTTAAAAAAGATCTATGGTACCTGGGGCTGTGTTATATGCTAAAAGCTGAAATTAAACACCGGATCGTTTCATGTTAAGCAAATTTACGGGTATTTTTGTTTTGAATATCAATTTTTGAATGTTTATATGGTAAGCCAAATGTAGCAATATTCATTTCATTTAATTTTATATGTAGTTTTGTATTATGTGTTCAACTATGCGTTTAATATTCAACTTATATTCAACATTCAACGCGTTATTCAATATTCAACTTCGCATTCAACATTCAACTATTTATTTTATATTAAATTCCTATTCAACAATTTCAACCATTTATTCCACATTCAACTTTAATTTTTAAAACATTCAACTATTCATTCAACTGTTTTGAGTCCTCACTACTTCTGGTCAGTGACACAGATCATTGCTTGTCAAAAATATGGTGGCGGCGGCTAGAATGCCGGCTATGGGAATAGAAGCTTGTGAAGATGACACAAGGCTCCACTTCGATGTGGAGTCTGACCTTCCAAGGTTTCTTGACTCAGTTCAAAGAACTGACGAGATTTCCCAGACGAAAGCGGATGAGGAAATTGTGGAGCAGCATATTGTTGTTGTCGATCAAACGGTGCGTTTGCTTCGTATACCCCAAGACAGCAGTTCGAACATTAACGCCTACAGGTATGACAAAGAAACCTGAGATAATCTCTCATCAGCATTCAGCGATGTCTTATCAGCCCTGCAGCAATGTTTAGCCAGAGCAGCCGTGTCTCCCACCACAATTGTATGGGTATGACCCAGAGGGCCCCTCTCCTTCAGAAGAAGATAACAACATTGTTGTCGAACCAATTTCGTTAGATAAAAGGCATTCAATAGAGTGCTATGTGTTGGATGCTGTTGACCCTCTAATATAGTCCACTCAACTGCGTATCGATCTTTATATTCAAGCCCTGGACCTGGTCAAGGATAGAATGGAATGATAGTTAAATCTCCCTGAAACAGAAAATCACTACCCAGACGTGAGGGGGACAGGTTCCTATGTAAAAGTGATCAGTGCTTGTGGGGGCCTTGTGTCATCTTCACAAGCTTCTATTCCCATAGCCGGCATTCTAGCCGCCGCCGCCATATTTTTGACAAGCAATGATCTGTGTCACTGACCAGAAGTAGTGAGGACTCAAAACAGTTGAATGAATAGTTGAATGTTGAATGAATAGTTGAGTGTTGAATTAAAGTTGAATGTTGAATGAATAGTTGAATGTTTTAAAAATTAAAGTTAAAGGTGGAATAAATGGTTGAAATTGTTGAATAGGAATTGAATATAAAATGAATACAGTGAAACCTGTATTAAGCAGACACCCTCGGGGAATGCTGTAGTGTCCGCTTAATACAGGGTGTCAGCACAATACAGGTTTCAATAGATAATGTCATATGAGGTGTCAAATGCGATTCAAATGAACAGTGGAAACGTTCAGAATACTCCCAGAGACTATGACGATTTTCGTTTACATTAATTTCTTTACTTAAGTGGACCAGTTGATCAAAGTACCATAAACATAGATTGCAACTCCAATTTGAAGAAATCGGATGAGTGAAACAAGCTCTATTCAAACAAAACGAAATAGAAAACGTAACTGTACTGTGAAACTAATTAAAAAAGTTTGTCAAGTCACGTTTTTTAAGGTAAAAAATGAAAATTTGTGGGTGGCAGTCTTTCGCATTTCCGGTGTCTGGCATGTTGTGTGCTGGAATTTAATTACAAGTGTCCGTTTAAGACAGGTTGGAAACAATAGAAATGACCATTTCAGGTACTTTTTAGGTGTCCGCGTCCGCTTAATAGAGGTGTCCGCTTAACAAAGGTTTCATTTAAAGTAAATAAGGGAAATAAATTTGGGGACTTCAGCTACTGTCCGCTTAATAGAGGGTGTCCGCTTAATACAGGTTTCACTGTAGTTGAATGTTGAATGCAAAGTTGAATATTGAATAACGCGTTGAATGTTGAATATATTTAAAGTTGAATATTAAACGCATAGTTGAACACATAATACAAAACTACATATAAAATTAAATGAATTGAATATTGCTACTTTTGGCTTGCCATATGTTTACATAAGAAAGTATCGCTTTTATGCCAACAAAAATTTTAAGATATCATTTAATACAAATGATTCAACGTCTTAACAAAACGTTAGTTTAGTTTGTAAGTCTGGGGCCGGTTGCTCGAAGCCTGGTTAGTGCTAACCGTTGGTTAAGAGGTATCAAAATGTATAAGTTTCCCTGGTATTTAACGCTGGTTAGCACTAACCATGCTTCGAGCAACCCGGGCCTGAAGGCGTGAAGGGTCGTAGAAAATATAATAGAAATAAAATAATTCGACTGTCATTGTGTGAATTAAATTCGACGTCTGAAACCAAGTCGTGCTAATGTCGTGCTACAGTCGAGCCAGCTTAGCACGGCAATAGCACGACGTTTGAAACAGACTTTACTCCGGCGATAGCAGCTGCCATTAATCTGCGATCACGCTATTTTTGTTTCGCTTGGTTGAGAGCCAGCCTTTTTCTTAGAGTCGTTGTGTCTGTTAGGGGTCGTGAGTCTGAGCTCTCTTAGCCGTAGCTGCCTGCGATGGCTTTTGGTTACTTCGGCAGCGAAGTTAGAAATTTCGTGACTTCTATCAGCCGATTTCAATATGTAAACAAAGCAATGTAGGTTTCGCTCGATCGCATGTAATTTAGACCGCCTGTATATGTCCGGAGCTCAATAGAGCAAAAATTAAGAGAGAAATTTCCTACCAGCCAGCGTTTACTTGTATAATCTCAAAACAATCGACCAAACAACTCAAAATGCTTACCTCTGCTTGCTTAATTAAGCTACGTACAATGGCGGCCTCGGAATCTGTCAAGTGAAAGTGGGTGTAACACTTTTGAATAAATACCGCAAAATTCCGAAAACAAGCTCCTCCATGTATGAGCCCCTCCAAATATAGGCCTTCCAAACTAAAAAACCCTCCATTAAATCGCCCCTCCAAATATGAGCCCCTCAGGGGCTTGTACTTGGAAATTGCTCTCAAATACAAGGTAAAACAAAGTAAAAACAGGATATTTCCCTCCAACTATAAGGCTAGCCCAATCGATTTGAAACGCAAATTTCCCTCCGTAGATAAGCCCCTCCGAAAATAAGACCCTTCAAAAATAAGCCCCTTTCAAAAGGGCCTTTGGAAAATATGAGCCCCGGAGCTTATGGGAATACAGCGAAAATTTTAATAAATTGCACGAGTCCAATTCGCGCAATCCGCAAACACATATAGTATTCAATCAGTAAAAGTAACCTCCTCCAAATATCTCCTGCCACGCCAAAAAACGACAATGTTAACGGTCCATCTGAACCCGATTTTCTGAAAATCGCAAACAAAAATAAGTTTCTGCAAGACAAAAAAATCTTCAATCCGCAAAAAAATAAAATACAATAAAATATACAGTAATAATAAAAAATAACAACAACTCCCTTTTACAATTTTAACTTGTGTTTGTGATTGATCAAGTCGTTCTTTGCAGCCGCGGTCGACCCTGTGGTACGCCCTTCCAGACGAGTTGAGAGCTTTGGGCAGTCTCAAAACTTTTCAACGAGGTTGAAAACTTTTATGGCACAGTTAAAAACTCATTGTTTTAAATTAGCTTTTAGCTTATAACCTATAGTATTTTAACATAGATTTTTTGCATGTATATGTTGCAGTTAATTTTTTATTTCAGTTAATTTTTGGTTTTCCTTTGTTTTAAATTAATTAGCATACATTACCATACCCAGAAACAATGGAAAAATAAAAATTAACTGAAATAAAAATTAACTACAACATATATATAATATTTTTATCTAGTATCCATTTATTTAACAATTAATGAATGAGGCTGAGTATCTTATGAAGAATTATGGAGATCGAGGAGGGTGTTATCAGGCGGATGACACCCTCCGAGAACTCCATAATTCTTCATAAGATACGAAAGCCGAATTCAATAATTGTTTTATTATTCATTCAAAATAATTCCTAGTTTAAAAACATGGCTAAAACATGCTTACCTCCATCGATCCATCGATGTTAAGTTCATCTTCGATAGTGCACGTTTAGGTTTGTTCAGCTTCGCAAATATTCTCCAAATAGCAGATGTCGCCCTTATAGTTGTCTTCCTGCTGTTCTTGCTATGTTTTTCGCTATTATTTTGCCTAGTTCTTACTCTTGAAAGGAGTGAAATGTCCGCCATTTTTTGTTTTCACAACCAAAACAACTCATCCTTGCCGGAGCCGACGGTAATTGGCTCCTGACCTCGTCCCGAAGTCTTCTCGGTTAACGGTGCATTAACCTGTAGAAGGCTGCATTTTTGACGTCATTTCCTCGTTAAACACAAAATTCTTCCAAATTTGGTCATCAGTAACTGGTTATGGTAAATTATGCATGTGTTTCTAGCCAATCAGAATTGGGGAAATATTTTGAATGAATAATAATTAACAATTTAGAAAAGCTGTTATTTTTTATCCATTTCATTGTAGTATTATAAGCATTGTAATGCAAAGGGCATTAGATCATATACCCATGTATTTTGCGCTATATAAATAATAATGTTATGTTGTGTTATGTTAAGTCCTCTTCTGTCTTGATTAATCATCACAAATTACATATAAATGGTCCTACATTGTCACTATCCACATTCTCGTATTGCTCGTGTGGTCTTTCTTCATCTGTTTTAGATGTTGTTGAATCGACAACCTCGTTCCAAGGCATATCGATCCAGGAGGCCGGAGGTTTTTTTTGTTATGTGTTCGCTAGCCTGCGTAGCAGTCGCTAGCTTCCGTTTCCTAGCTTCGAGCCAAGCTGGGCAAGCGCGAACGGCGCGTAATTTGTACTCGGCACCTGCGTATACCTCCAAAGCCAGGGAAAAGCGCCCTGGGGAGGAGGTTGCTGCGTATGCAAAAAACGCACATGGGTTTGCGAGTCCGCCAGCCTGCGTAGCTTCTTTCTCGGACGAGAAGGAAGAATACTTTTATTTTCTCCCAATCGTAGGTCACGTGACGGCAATTTTCTTCGTTTTACCAATGGACCACCACGCGTCAGTTTATAGACTACGAGTAGTCCCCCATTTTTCCTCAAGGATAGTAGAGCGAGCGAAACGCGAGCGCGCGTGAAAATCACCCCACGCGTGTCGCCTTTTCTCGCGTGGGGTGATTTTCACGCGCGCTCGCGTTTCGCTTGCTCTACTATCTTTGAACAGCAAGTGGTAACGTTTGCGCATGCGCCAAGCTTGCTGGGAAGCACTTGTTGACGGGAAATCGTAATGGCTGAAAGCTGTTCTGAAGCACTTTCAAGGGAGATTTTTTTGCATACCCAATCAACAACAGACATGTCTTATAGATTGGATACTTTGGCTAAGCCATGTTGAAGTGTCATGTATGGGAGAAGGACCATTTAGCTGGTTAATTTTCGTCCATTTGGCTCCTCTGATGAGGCAGATAAAGCGTTCACGAGGTCGTTTGTTGTGATATGTTGATTTGTTGACATTCAAGCGGTCACGGATTTCTGGGTTATCGTCCACGATCTGCAGAGCTGCCTAACATTTAGGTAAGATATACCCCTTGATTTACTTTGTGAGATGTGGAGCAGCATCATCGAATGTTATGTGTTAAAATTATAGCAGCCTGAATTCAACGTAATTTATGTGACCCTGGTATTTTTGTAGTATTTGACCCTGACCGTACAGCGAGATCCAGTTATATATCCCACACAAGCGACTAAACAGGTTAAACTTCTCTTTCGGTCACTCCGTATTTTCACTTTTAATGGTTAATTCAAAGGGGGGAAGTTCGAGTATTTTGATACTATTTAGCGGCATGAAATCAACAAGCAAATTTCCTACTCTTACAAGTAAGGCCATAGTCGGATGTTTCCTTCCATTTTCGAAAATTTGCTTTTCTGGTTTACATTGGTGCTCTATGGCGATTACTTATTCTCAGAGATTAAGAGATCGAGGCGGTGGATTATGAAATATTATTTGCTAAAATTTCGTTAAAGATGGACAAATTTTTCTTGTCCTTTTCAACCTTGTTTTTAGATTTTTCGTTAACATGTAAAAGTATATCCCAACAAAACTTATTTGTAAGAGCATTGTTTCGGAACACTCTTTCATTCTTGAATGTTTGATTTTGCATCCAAGGGGGGGAACATGATGAATTTACGTTTTAATAATCATGCTCTGTAAGCTCTCAGATTCACTGACAAGAACCCTCACCATTTGGAAGATGATTTTATTCTGATAATTATTCAATGATGAGTTGTTTATACATACAAAATTGGCGCCTAAAAGAATTTTAATGTTATGCTTAAAATGTTTACATAATGTCTTGAAACATAACTGAAATCAATATAAAATATGAAAATACACATATGTGCATTCTCTTCCCTGCCCTACTATAAAAGGGATTTTTAAATAAGTGTGATTTAATGCATATTCATATGACCATTACAATATTACTCCCACTCTGACACTAGCACAAGTTCAAGCGCAAAACAATTCTTGCCCTTGTTCACCTTTGCACTTGCTGGACTGCCATTCCTGTTTGAAGTACAGAAAACACTGGACATGAAATCCCTGTATTTGATTCCTTACATTGGCATCCACATAAGAATTAGCTTCATCACATACAATGTATTTGTACGCTTACAAAAATCATAAAAGTTATTATTCCTTTTCTATCCAAAAGATTTCTTTCCTTCTTGAATATAAATTCGTATCCATGACACTTTAGAAATCCTGAATATCTAAAGGGGTATCGCTAGTTGTGGGCAACTAGATAGAAATAGATCTTTTGATACTCTGGGTCTCATATATTCAGTGTTTGTGCACATGAATTTAGGAGCACTTGGTTTCCCAATGTCGGTTTGGCTGTGTATACACTGTAGTAGTGTATATAGTCATATATCATAGACTGCACAAGCTGCAATTTATGTAAAATTGCCCCTGAAACAAGCTCATTGATGCTCTTTGTGTCGCAAGATGACAAGTTATGAAAAATTTCATTTGCCTTTTGCCTGTTGCAGGAGCTCCCTATGAGATGCTCAGCACTAAACCTTGTTGATTCAGGTGATAGTCATTGAGGACGACTGTATTGTCACATTTAAACCAGTCACACTTTTCACTCAAGCCATAGCAGAGCTGGTACAAAATGGCGACTATCCGTTTTTTATTTAACCCTATGCTGTCTGCAGAATGTGAAGGGTCTGTCACTCCATCCTGAACTGCATCAAATAGCCTTGGTGCCCCAGAAGACACACAGACAAGCTTTAATTTTTAATGAGTCAAACATTGGCTCACTTGAAGCTACCATAAACTGAGACTTTATAAATATCAGGCTTTAAGATCCTTAAGTTCTCCTCATGTTGAAATTGAATGAAAAGGAAAAGTTAGAGCTAATTTTCTCTCATTTTCAATGTTTTAATCTTCAAATCATAAGAACTTGGCCGCAAACAGATATGGGCTAGTCAAGGGAGCTAGGCCTTATTAGTTATATCTTAAATAATTAACACGTGTGCAGTAGAAAATAACAACAAAATTTATGAAAAGCAAAAATGAGTGCAAGCATGGAAGTACCAAAAGCAGAAAATTCACTTCAATATCTCAGAGAGAAAATGCAGTTTTAGATATGACTGTGATCTTTACTATTTTAAGTACTTTCACTGTTGTGTGCATATTTCCAATTTTCTAGTATGTAGAAGTGTGGGGAGTAAAGGGAAGGATTTTTCATGGTTAGGGTTACCTCAGTAAAACACATCTGTAATATGAAACATCTTGTACTACACTCCTGTTTTGGCTCATCTAATTCTTTATTTTAGAAGTATAAGGGGCATCTTGGAGTCAAGAGCCTCCATATTACAAAATTCTGCTTACACCCCTGAATTAGTTAAGGCATCACATAGATTTAATAGATGTCTTTTCTAGAGTTTGGGTCTTTAGTTTTATATCATCTAGTCAAAAAAGGAAACATACAATTTCATAGCCCTGGGTGGGATATCTTTGAAATTTTATCAGTCGCAGAATTAGGGCACTGCACCTGCTTTGGCTAGGTTAGGATGGGGTATGTGGATGTGGTTAGGATGGGGTATCTCTGAAAAGTAATCACTGGCAGAATCACTGCACGAAGGTTGCACATCTCTGAAAAACAGGGCGTTCCTGAACCATAACTGACGTGAAATCGTATTATTACAAGGAGATTGTCGCAAGAACTGCAGTTATGACTATATAAACAGACTAGCATTTAGAATTTTTTATCACGGCGTTTTATTCAAATCGTAAGCGTCGGACGTTTTGTACTCGGTCACAACTTACATGAAGAGATTTTTTCCCAGTAATCCAGTGTTTAATAGAGGAGTTTTGCAGCTGTTACACAGAACCCCATCGACGTGTCCGCGCGCAAGCCAAAACACGATACAATAATCACTCATGGACCACAAACCGCGCAAAATTGTGAATGATCTGCGACTTATTAGCCTTGAGACCAATCTCGCATATTCCAAAGAAGACTTTGTCTTATCTGCACTCCACAAAGATAGAACAGATGACTAAGACGATGGTCATTTTTAAAAGAGGCACCATTTTTCTTTGCTGCATTCGCTGCGATCCAATACCACCACAAACTTCCGTCCAGCGGCTCGCGCATACTCGCAACGTTACCACTTGCTGTTCTCGTAGTCTAGTCAGTTTGTCAGTTTGTCAGTTTAGTGCCAGTTGTCTTCGTTCCCAGTTTTTCTCAGGCAGAAGACCTGGCTGCTAATTCATCATGGCGGCTTTCGGGGCCTTGAATATCAAGTGAAAAGAAAGAAAAATCTTACAGGTTAAACGGAGAAAAGTCATGGTAAGTCTTGTTATACAGTAAGTTTTTTTTCTACGGGAAAGGAATTGCTCTCTCAAGTGGATAGTGATATTATGGACAATAAAGTTCGAAATTGCGGGTTTTATTAGTAGTATGGGTTAGCGTGACCGAACAACATGCTTTTTTCATGCACATAAAAGGGAAGGCACAGTCAAAGTAAATTATAGTTTCCAATTTTAATTTAAGTTTTACAATGTCCGATGTAGGAACCCAGCCGAACCCAAACCTAAGGCACACTTCATGGAGGCCATTTCCATTTAAAAAATACAAGTACTCCCTTCCCTGTACACGAGGTATTCAGTACAAAAAGAATGAAAGGAAAACAATTTCTTTTAGATTTTAAGTGGACGACCCATCATTCTAGTGG